CCAGTTATTTTGGGACCCATTGAAGAGATGTGTGTTTTGTGGCACGTTTCTTGTGAGTAGGCGTTACAGTTAGATGCAAAGTTACGTAGTTCCCTCTTACATAGATGATGTTTGGTTAAAGGGTGCATGTACATTTTGTTGTGATAATTATAAAATCATGTGTACTTTGGTATTTTTTATATTTGATGGGCCGACGTTTGACCTCTATCTCGCCTGATTGTGAGTGATGATGTGCTCTACGATGGAGTACGTCATCCCATAAACTAGCTTCTTCCTCCCAATAAGTTAGGCTGATGTGGTTTGTAGGTTGACGTAATCATTTCGTAAAATATGTATCTATTTAAAACTCTGCCATTATTTAGAATTTTTAAGTCGAAAACAATTTTATTCCTGACTGGTACTAGTATTAATAATGAGATAGTAATCATAATATTCTAGTATTACTTTTTGTACCTAACAAATTCAGAAAGTCTATCAGTATATTTTTACAAATTGCTACTATTACCATTTATATAAGCTTTCTTCTATACTTTATTTTTATTTTACGTGTAACTTAGCTAACTTATGAAATTCTTACGTATAGTAAAATGTATATTTTAATATAAATAAAGGCTAGAGGTCAACAACCACGAAATATTCAGGTATGAAGCATACATCTATCAAACATTTTCTATAAGCAAACAAAAATAATATCAAACAGCTGAGTGCCAGTGAATAACGAACTCTATTCCCTTCACTCTAAAGAGAAAACTAAATTAACTCCAACCTTGCATAAAAATAGAAGCAGCTGCTACATTTTCCAGCGCTTTGATCCCAAAATCGGTATGGAAAAAACCAATTATTCAGTTCTTGGAAGCCATTTATTAGCTTGATGCCTACGTAATTGCGGTCTTGGTTTCAATTTAGGTTGGAACATGTGCTGCCGGTCTTTTAAATACGAAATTTTCTCATATGTAATATACAGACGACTGCCAAATCCCTCCAGTAAAACTTGACCTCGCAGTCCCGAAACTTTTCATATAGACAGAGGTCAGTTGATATTGGATTTTATAGTGGGTACTACTATGATTTAGGGAAAAAATAATAATGCCCAGGATTACAAAAAAACCTGTTCTACATGTTTTAGTACAAATAGAGGGTCCTAGTACGTATTTGGGATTCTGAGCCTCACATATGGTATCGTCAACCCTTTATTAAGTTGGACCCAAACGAAGATAACTTGGGATATATGACTAAGAAATATTTTGTAAATATTTTCGTATCTAATACGATCCGTTGGTATAACAGAGATAGAAATACGAAATAGGGATCTTAATTACATTTGCATATGACTTATATTTGCTTGGAATTTGTTTTGGGTTGTTTTGTTGTTTTGCAATGAGGGTTGATTGTGTCTGTGTCTAGCGGTGGACGCCTGTTTTGATTGATTATGATTGAATGCGAGTTTTGGGAAGATAATTTTCTGTATTACGCAAAAGTACCTCAATGATTAACGGTCTCAAAGATTATTGGGTTACTTTAGTGGTTATTAGTTTTCAGTTCTCAGTATGATATAATTTTCGTGTCCATTTCTTTTTTCTCTTTTATCTTTGACCTACTATTGGAATAGAAGTTTCTATACAAGTATCTGAAGTGGAATCTTCGAATTGTTTTCCTGATCGATTGCTGAATGACCACTTCTGTTTTACTTATAGTTCACTTAATGAACTAACTCGTACCATTCTAGCCCCCTTGGCTACCTCCCAACTTCGGACAGTTACGAACAAAAAAACTTCCCTAAAAGTCGGTCAAAGTGCGATCAACTTTAGTTGGCCATTGTCTTTTAAAAAGTGACGTAATTTTATAATTAGTGACGATGAAAAAACAATGACAATCCGATTTTGTGGCGAAACTTTGGCTGGTAGAGTTATATAAACTTGTTCTGAATTGTTCTAAAAGTGATTTTTTATTAGTAATGAGTGCTTACGTGTTTGTGTCTTGTAAAAGGGATGATTATAATGGACGGCCTCCCAGAAAACTGACGTAAAGCAACACTTGCGTTGTGTTTCGGCATGTGAGTGAGGTTACCGGAGGCCCAATAACCCAATAAATCGCTTCACCAATCTCTCAAATCTATGAATCCCCAACAATCCTCAAAAGGCCGGTAACGCACTTGTAACGCCTCTGGTGTTCCAGGTGTCCATGGGTGACGCCGATTGCTTACCATCAGGTGATCCGTATGCTCGATTACGGGCTTATTCCATTAAAAAAATAAAATACTAGAAGTCTAATTACTTTACTATCTTACTAATCTTATAAATGTGAAAGATTTTGTGTGTGTGTTTATTTTTCAATCATGTCAAAACTGCTGAAGGGGTCGGGATGAAACTTGTAGTAGATAATCGTCTGAAATAAAACATAATTATGCTTCTTTTATTCCACGGGAACGCGTTCAAAGCAGCTGGTAGACGCTAGTTTTTAGTATAATTGAATAAATAGTAATGTAATAATTGTAATTACTCACTGATTTTTCAAAATGCAGTTATACAAATTTTATAACTACACGAATAAATCAGTGGGGTATGAGCAGCGAGTAGTTTCACTTGTATCCACATGCCACCCGCACATATCTACACAACAGTGGCGACGAGCGACCCACAATTATTAAGAAAATATTCTTTAATGAAAAATGGCACAGTCATTTTGTGGAGTTTTTATCAACTTTTGATCATAATGTCAACGATTGGAAGACGTACAAAGGTGTTGTGACCTACTGGTTCATCACAAATGACATTGATGCGAAGAATGGTGCGGCGGGAACCAGGATACGAACCATAGTAATCAGCGCACTCAACAACAGTACTTGCAAGTTGGCAATAGACTTAGCCCTGCCAAGAGACGCTCAAGGGGTGCCGTATGACGACCTTATGACGTTTTTGGATAACCACTTCGCTCACAAAACGTTTCAGCTTCAGCGAGCGACACAATTTCTATACAGCTTCGCAACAGCAGGGCGAGACATCATCAAAAGTGTACCCATTTGTCTTATATTGTTTGTATTTATCTTTGCTTTGGACTGAGAAGTCCTAACATAAACCTCTACTAATATCTAAAGCCAAAACCCGTGGTAATCAGAACCCAACGATCAAAGATAGCCAATTTGAACCAAACACCCCAACCAATCCTAATAAGCCATACATTTGACGTCAATATCAATATGGTTACCATTAAAATCTCAATTTCGGTGGCTCAGCCCAAACATTCAGTTGGTTTATGTTCCTCTTTACATAATGACCTCGCTTTACGCACATTGAAGTCTATTCCTATTGAATAAACTCATTAGGGTCCCCATTCACCCGTGGTTCCCCGGACAAGTCCATATTCAATGGCTTTAATACATGGTGGGATCGATCGTTCTTTTTTCGAAGGGACGAAAACTAGTGGTTATTTTCGCAGTAAAAGAGGATTGGTTCACATTTTGCGGGAATTTGATGACCTGATTTCTTTTTTTTTCGTCTAATTGCATACTATAGGGTATAACTGGTTTGTTATGGTTTGTGCGTTTATGGAGAAGTTTATATTTTTAAAATGATTTTAAATAGTATTTAGTGTTCTCTTATCCTTGCCCTGAAGAAATATGTAGTTAAGGTTGCAAAGTCAAAGTAGTCGCATATGGACTATGCGCGATCCATGAATCCCAATCGCCGCATAATACCGGGCATATTACGAAAATTTAAGCTTTAGTTACATTATTTAAATACCAAACGGACAATTTTATTGAAAATATCAGATTATATAACATAAATAATATCTATTTTCAAACATAATATCGAACCACAAAAATGGTGTTAATTAATGAGAAATTCATATGAAATAGATACGATACCTAACCAACTGGTATTTGGGTATACATTTAGTTATAATTATCAGAATTTCACGGTTCCATCGAACTACATTCCAAATGATGAATTCCTCCATAAAACATTGAACGAATGCAAATCATCATTTTATTAATTAAAATCCGTCAATTGTTTAAAATTAAAACGTTCATCGCATGAATTTACTTCGATGGCACTCAATTTTATTAATTCATATTTACTTTGTATGGTTTTCAATTTGATTAATATTGCTAACTAGTTGTTCCTTGCAGTTCTGCTTGGATAAATATTAATTTAATATGATTTCAGTAGAACTTTATAAATTTATTTTTTTGTAGGTACAGTAAGTAGTAGAGCATTTCTCAGTATATTTACGCTAGTAACTCATCATTTTAAAATTTCGTTTTATTTATTTTTAGTTATGGTTGTCCGCGTACTGCAGGCCAAAGGCCTTCCTACCGTGCTCGTCATTCTTAGTTACCTATTTCTTATTGGTGGTTATAGTGAGCAAGTCTGTCAAAATCCATCACGGAGAACCTAAGGGGTTACCGGGGCTCCGGGTCGACGTGCAGGAGAAGGAACGGGGTTGTTTTTATTCAGTAAGAGTCTGACGCTCCCTCCCACCTCACCAAGGCAAGAGATTCAATGATTTTCCCCCCTTAAAAAAAATTTATCGAAATTCCTTATTCCCAGAAATTAGAAACCCCATAACTTTTACCTAATTCAGAGATGAAATACCAAAACTTGTTCCCGGTAATTAAATTCACATCAACTAAACCAATATGGCCGCTCTACCTGTAATGCAAAAGCTTTATGACTAGAGATATCCATTATGTGATCATAGTGTAAGGAAAAAACCCCGCAACGTTTTCAAAAAACCCAAATCGCGTGATATACATGTATAAAACCTATTTACGAACTAAAAAGATAATAGCATGACTCGAATATTCTATTCATGTCATCCACAAAACAGTATCCTACCTTTACCGACCGCATAGTCACACTACATCCAACTAACACACTAAAAAACCAACCTTGACTACATAAAAATAGAGTACAAAATCTATCGCGAGAATTGCTATAGTGAAGTAAGCTTGAAATTGACTTTAAATGTATGTTAATAAGGTTCATTTTTGTTCGCAGGCTGCCGTGTATACAGGGTGTTTTGAGCCGTGAAAGTGGGATTATGCATGGACACGTGAACTAGCGATGTCTGCGGCTTTCCTCTTCGCGGCGCTTGGCGCTTTGGCACTCGTCAGCCGCACAGGTGAGAAGGGGTCTTTATTTATGTGAAACCACGAAGTATTAGCACGGATAGTTAAGTCAGTGGAAGCCATATTGTTCCGTTGCTTTCAAATGTGCAGTCTATTTTTATCTTGACACTGTTTGTGGGACACAGTTACTCATGTAACATTACTTCATATTTTGTAAAGCAGACAAAACTGCAGATATTAATGTAATACCAAGCACTATTTGAAATATCCTGGTGCGTTGCTGAGATTTATACAAAAATTAAACACTATATATAAAAATTACACGTCCCTAAAATTCAAACTCAGCGAAGAATTGTTAGCAGTTGCAAAACACACAACACAATTTAATACTACAACACGCTTTTTTATTCCCGAAGGGGTAGGCAGAGGTCCACATTACAGGACTAAGGGCCACAATACAATGTAACACCCACTTTTCACTATTTATGTTATGAGTCCCATGTAATAGGGGGTGAGCCTATTGCCATATACCGGGCACATTTCCAGACTCCGTGCTACGAATGAGATATTTTTAAAAAAACCTAGTAATACTTTGCCATCCCGGGAATCGGCAATCGGAATGCAAGGAAGCACATTAGTTAATTAATGTAAATAATGTTTTATCAAATGAACAAATTCACATATTAAAATATTATACGCAAATACACCGTGACATGGACAAATAAATATTCGGTATGACATAAATACTAGCTTTTATCTCAATGCAAATGTTTCAAAGCCTATTTACTGACTGAAATATTATTATACTTATATTTAACAGTTTCGGTACACTGATCTAATTTTGCTTCTAAAAATCCCTTTTATGATAGTTTTCTTTGTGTGCACATAATATAACATACAAGGAAACGAGTGTATCTATCTAGTAAATGCAAAATTTCAATTAAAATCCTTTACTCGTCACGTCAAAACTCAAATCTTCCCGATACAATTCACAACACAATATAACAAGCTACTTACACATTTTGAAACTTAACACCAAAACAATAAAATTCAAAATATATCGATGAAACACAGATTGGAGCATCAAGCAGCGTTATGTGTTGTCGTCAGTACATTACAATAAAGCATTTAGTTGATTACGTGAGCGTCTAAAACGCAGCTTACAGGGACTTGTGACGTAATACTCCGTCTAAGCTCACCCAAATTCTTTGTCAGTCGTTAGCGGCATGAAATTGTCGTTTACTTAAGCTGTTCCCTGCCTGACCTCGTTTAAAGCCTTCAATAAACGAGCCTTTGTTATTGAGAAGACATTATTTCCCGGAAAACTGACATATTTTTCATCTCAAAAATCGTTTTCAATTCCCAACGGTGTTTCATTAAAGAAGGACGTTTGTTAATATGAAAGGCGGGATTAGGAGTCGACTAAGATAAGTGGTGAGCGATCGCTGATCAAGTGATGAATGAAAGTTTTTCTGCTCAAACGATTCCATTGATAATGTTTTCGATTTAAGCTAGGCTCGTCAGTTGAAATCTCTGAGCGCATTAAGGAATTGAATTTTCGTTTTTACTGATTATGTTCTATCAAGACTCTGAGATTGATATTACATTGCAATTGTTAGCTAAATGGAAAGTAGATTTATTTATTGGGTTGAAAAAATTTTTGATATAACGATGAATAGGTAGATAATGAACAAATAAATAAACAAGTGAGTCTTAATTTATATAAGCGATTTACAAGAGAATAATAAAAATGAAACATGTGCAAAAACATGGCAAATTTTTGTTTTCATTGAATAAAAAATTCCAGGAATTAAAGCCCTTATTATTACACCCTTGTGATGCAGTATAGAATTTCCCGTTACAATGTAAATAATTCATTGAATATCTTAAAACAATTCTAATTCACACAAACAAGAAGCACAAAGTCATACTACGAATATATTTACACCTACATGTACATTGTACATATACGGTAGGTTAGCAAGGGGTCTCAACACCGTTTCCGGAGCAAAGAGAGTGAGCATTTAGGGCGCTCACTTGAGAAGGGGAGCGATTAGCCTGAGGGCTTCGCAAATGACACCTATATCCTTACATTTAAGATTTTATTCCTTACTGAAAATATAAATTTGAATAAGCTGCTGTGTTTTGCCCGTTAGGAGACGTGTTATATTTTATAAGTTTAGTAATAATAGTTTTTATTTTTTTAAACTTTGCCCCACACTAGGGTTTTCTCCTGTGTCGTGGGTGCGTTTACAAACATACAAGTTCACATACACATGACACCCAGACCCGAAACTGACATATCACAAACATCAGACGTAGTATCTAAATCTAGATGTCATTTTACTGCCAAGACAAGATCAACAATAACATGATCATACTTTTTTAAAAAGAGTAACGAATGGAGTTTATTGCTCGTTCTTCTCCGTTGGAATCTACATTTTGGAATGAGCACCTAGCTTCACCTAGCTTCACTGACGGACTGATTGACAGACTACTATTTATTTTGTAATTGTTGACGTTTCAAAAGTACCAAATTATGGTTTAATTGAAATAAATGCTTTGACTTTTGAATACTTTGAACCAAAAAATCCAATACCACTTCGTAATAAACAGAATTAAGAATCTCCATTAACCATTTGATCACTTCACGAAAACAACTCACGGACGAATCGTCCAAAAATATCGATCCGTTCACGCATTGGGAAGTATGGTCAGTTCCCAGTGGTCCCACTTCCAATTAGCAGAGCCAACATTATATCCATTGCTTATGAGCCCTCTATAACAATTCTCTTAATTAACTTTCTCATCACATTGGACTATCCTTAACCTTGATCCCTTCGAAAGAATCGAAGGAACGGAACACAATCTCCAGGACATTTACTTAATAGTCTAAGAGCTACTGAACTAAAATAAAGTTCGTGCTGTAAGGCTACAAATTTGTAGGGTGATGATTTATACCACGCTTAGGCCAATAGTAACGCCCTGGCAATCATCAGCCTTGCGCATCAACACCTTTGTATAGCCATTTTAATATGAACTCGCTTTATATGATCTTTCCGCACATTCGACGGTCAATTTATACTGGTTTTTCAGTCCCTGATGTGTTGCCTATATTGTGCAATCAGATTGTCACTATATGATCTTGGCGTGTTTTAAATCACCACCCTACAAATTTCTAGCCTCACAGGACGAACTTGATTCGGAGGGTTCAATAGCTCTTAGACTATAAGTCTCGTCGCCATCTTGTCGACCGCCATTTTGTATTTTTTTCATCAAATCTAAAACGAGATTTTCCGAAACGACCGTTAATTTGACCGGGCCCTGATTAAAATGGATCATGGCATAATGTCATTTGAGTCTATCGAATAATGTTGGGTTATTGCCTGATCTTTCCGTTTTGTGATTTCTTCCGTATTTTTGGAGTCACTAATTTTATTCCTGGTGGTACTGGTTGTGAATGTATCCGAATGGGAGCATGGTAGCTAAGTATTACATTTTAAGTTAGGTATTTGAAAGTCTTTTCTTGAAAATTAGTCGTTTAGCTACGTCTTAAAACAAAAATAATACATAAAATTGTCTCTCACAGATTTCATATGATTAATTTTTTTACAAAAAGTACCTATATTCTACAGCCAAAATATGCTGCCAACATACATACATA